TTACCATGCCTTAAATATTTTATAAATTCATCTCCAATCCTAGTCGGGATTTGTTGAATTATCTTGGCAATAACATCTTTCATCTCCGAATCTATGCTACAACTTCACAACTACACCAGAATTAGCGCCTTTCATCTCTGTTGAAGAACCCAAGTTAGCCAACACATCAGCCTCCGCGTTCTCCTCTCTAGGAATATGGACCACTAACCACTCCCTGAGCCGGGAAAGCAAAACATGGATTTTATTCAAATTATGCTGCATACGCTCTTCTTTAGCGTAAAAAATCCGATATATTTGATTAACTACTAGGTGGTAATCGCACTTTACTTCAATCACCTTAGAGCCTAGTACCCGGGCTCATTCTAGTCCTGCAACCATAGCCTCATACTCGGCTTTATTGTTAGTTAATAAAACAGTTCGAATGGCCTGCCTCAGTATTTCTCTCGAAAGAGTAATTAATACTATGCCAAGATTGAATCCTTTTCACATTGGATGCACCATCCATAAAAAAGGTCCAAACACCAGAAATAGTCCTTGATACCAACTGCTTCTTCTGCAGCTAAAGGCATCATCCACCGACTAAAATAAGCCACAAAGTATGCCAAAACTTGTGAGTTGATTGCAGTCCACAGTTTATATTCAATATCAAACTCACTAATTTTGACTGCCCATTTAGCCAATCGATCTGATAACTCAGGTTTATGAAGGACGTTCCTCCGGGGAAAAGTTGTCACAACGGCTATAGGATGACATTGAAAGTAGGGTCTAAGCTTTCGAGAGGCGACTATGAGAGCTAGGGCCAACTTTTCCAAGTGCAAATATCGAGTTTCTACACTTGATAATATTTTACTATCATAATAAATAGGGAACTACATACCTTCCTCTTCACAGACTAGAACTGCACATACCGCAACTTCTAACACCGCCAAATACGCTAACAACTGCTCCCCGTACTTTGGTTTAGGCATTAAAGGAGGACGGGACAAGTACTTCTTTAAATCCTTCAATTCTTGCTAGAACTTCGGTGTCCACAAGAAGTCATCCTTCTTTTTTTAATAACAAAAAGAATTGATGACACTTCTCTGAAGATCTTGATATAAATCTGCTAAGAGCCGCCAACCTACCGGTCAACCTATACACCTTCTTTATGCTTTTAAGTGGATTAGGAATATCTTCTACAGCTTTGACGTTGTTAAGATTTACTTCAATTCCTCATTGTGAAACCAAGAAGCCAAGAAATTTCTTGGATCCAACTTCAGAAGCGCATTTCTCCAGGTTAAGCTTCATGTTGAACTTCCTTAAGATGTCAAACGTTTCTCGAAGATGAGTCAAATGGTCCCTAGCACTAAGAGGCTTAACCAACATGTCATCAATATAAACTTCCATTTTTTTCCAATTTGATGTTCAAACATCTTACTAACGAGCATCTAATAGGTGGCTCTAACACTTTTAAGCCCAAAAGGCCTCACATTGTATCAACACGTACCAAAATTTGTAATAACTGATATTTTCTCTTTATCCTCTGGGTGCATCCTAATTTAATTATACCCAAAATATGCATCAAGAAAACTCTTCAACTCATGTCTAGGCGTGACATCGATCATTTGATCGATGTTCGACTTCAAATCCTTTAAATCAATACACATTCTAAACTTATTATTCTTTTTTGGTACCACTACTACATTAGCTAACCAATCAGGTACTCAACTTCATATGTTGAACCTATATTAAGCAACCTGGTTACCTCCTCTTTTACACACCGGCCTGTCACCTCTCATTTTTTTTCGTTCGCTTGATTGTAGGCTCTGTAATACTGATATTTTTTTTTCTAACGTTGTCATCCATCTATCACATCTTACTCAATAATGCTTCATTATCTCTCTTCTTATTTCCCTGCTAATATTTCTGTCTATCACTTTATTCTGAAAACTTCAACAAGACATTATTTTGCTTTTAGTTCCCCTTGCTCCATCCACTAGCTCTTCGGGTTGCCTAACGTTCTTTCTCTACTAGGAACGGGAGTCATACTAAGGTAATATTTATCCCTTCCAGGATTCCAATGCTTGTCTTTGTAATTTTTTTTTTTTTTTGAATATTCTAGTATTCATATCTAGTTGTACTATTCTAGAGTGCACCATTTGGGTGTATCACAAGGAGATCTATTGGTATATTTGCCATATCCTTCGGAAAGTTAACTAATGCAAACAATTCATCCACCATTTTGGGTCACTCTAACCCCAGCCGGATCCTAATATTCGTCCTTCTCTTAAACTACTTCTGTTAGCCCCCCATAGGGCATAACTCAGATGGGTGTGGCCAATTGTACATACCTCTGTTACAGTTGAAGGTAACTCAAAATGCTTATATCTCTCTTCCTGAATTGTAGATAATGATCATCTTCACTAACTGGGTACCTTGTACCCTTCTTCACCTTGTTTCTTTTACTTGTTGAAACTTGTACCTTCTGATTCTCTCGTTTCTTTTGACCATATGGGTGGATAGATATTCATGACCGGGTCCAAGGGGCCCAATGTAAAGGGATAAGTATAAACACTTATAAAACCCTCCACGTGGGTAGTAATCGCTTCCTCGAGCAAGGAAGTGAGCATATATATCTCGAGACTGGCTCGCACCGACCCGGTACCGAGTAGGTTTTTGTCGACCTTAAAATCAGCACCGGTTGAGCACCCGCCAGGAATAAATGATTCAAGAGGAGGTTCCGCCGCCGGTTCCTCGCCGGCCGACCGTGATGAAGAGGCAGTTTCTTTTTGTGGAACTGTCTTAAAAGTCTTTGCCATTTTTTCTTTTGAATAAAGGTGGAGAAGAGGAAGTTAAAAGGTTACGCTTGATGGTTTGGAGTGAGACAAACGATAATTCTTGCAAAAACCTTAAGAAATCTGGGTACAAGTACTAGAGAGTGCAAAGAATTTCTAAGAACAAGAGTAGAGGAAGCTTTGAAAGTAAAGTTTGAATGAGATAATGAGGAAGTATATATAGTTTGCAAGTGACGGTTCAAAACCTGTAGTGGTCGACCAGCAATTTTGACGCACATTTAATGCTATTAAGACGTAACCGACGAGACGTTTCGTCAGTATTATCGTTTCTGGCGCGAAGTATCGTGACGAAGATCGAGGGCTCATATCGTTTCTCGTCGTTTGCTCTCCTAAAAAATGAGGGGACTATCTGTATACGGCTGAAATCGGGCTCATATATTGCATGACGGATCGGAACCGAGCGTGATGGATTGAAGATCGACCTCAGGTTCCATCGAACCAAAGTACGAAGTCAGAACATGTGTCTCCAAGATCTTCGAGTCTATGACTCCGGAACCAACCCCGACTCCGGATAAGCTCGAGGAAACATTATCGGACCCAATAACGGAAGGATGAGATATCCGCGATCGGTCGGATATCACGACGGGAATCTAGGCATGTATCAATGAGATACCGATTAATTAGCTGAGATTTCTTACATTTTATAGAATTATACCTAAAGCAGGACTCCCCTACTATATAAAGGGAGTCTGATTCTTTGTAATACACATTGTAACACGCATCCCAAAGCATTATAATATTATTTTCTTTCTGCAACCCACTGTTCTTCTGTATTTGATATCATTTGGATCATATTCAATTCGAGTGAGACTTAGAGCCCGTTTGGACATACAAAATTTTTCCTTTTTTCAAATTTTTTTTAAACAATGTTTGGTTATCAATATCTTACCATTTTTTCCAATTTCACTTGAAAATACATTTTCAAATTTGAAAACTGGGTCTTACCAGTTTTTCAATTGAAAATACATTTTCACTTGTTTTTAATTTTACAAACTTACCCTATACTTTTAAAATTTATAAAATGACCCCATCAATTATTAACCTACAACTACCCGCCTGTTTTCCCTCGACGATCAAATAAAGCTACTGCAGCGGATAATGAACCCTTTTTTGTGACGACTACCATGTTGGTACCGGGCCTGTGAATATGAATACAAGTACTGGTAATAGCAGTGGGAAGCGGACTATATTAGAAAATGTGATATTGATTTTGCATCTTCTGTATATTGAAGTAAAGCAAAATATGATAACAGTTAAACAATAGCATGTTTGATTGTTTATTTCAAGTAGGATAATTAAATTGGGGCGATTTTGATATTTTTTACAAATTATGGGGTATAAATCATATTTTATGGTTTTGAAAAAAAGACATCCAAATATATTGCAAAAATTATAACCAAACACTACTTCATCTTCAATTCACATTTTAGAGAAATTCCAAATTTGAAAATCTATTTCGGAATTCATGTCCAAACGCCTGCTTATTTCCCAAGGTTAAAACTGTTCAAGTCACACGGTTTGAATTTACTTTATTATTGTTTACTTTATTTATAATTCAATCTATCGCTTTGTGTCAGATTAATCCATGTATCCTTAAAACCACTTATAAATTCAATTGTTATCTGATTTTACGGATAAACAGTTTTTTTATATAAAATATTTAAAGAAAAATACCAATTTATTTGAAGGGTTGTAATTCTTCATCTGAGTATTAGTTACTGATGTTCGACCAATGTCGGCTTTTCAATAAGAACAGTGAAATAATTGGCCTTAAAGCTAATGAAAAATGGAGGAAGCAGGAACCCTAAATTAAAAAAATTGAATTGCTAAATTATACTTTTAAATAATTTAAATTCCCTATTTAAGAAAGGAAAAACAAATGGCTAACGGCATAAACCTAACGCCTAGCAGGTTCAAGCGAAGAGTTGCCGCCGTTTTGTGGCTGAAAACATACCGTTTCTTCCAGTAGTGCTATTCTCTTCCAAATAGTGTTATCATCTAATAAATGGACATAGTTCATTTGTTTGAGAGGCAGATTCGGGTTTATGGAAAAAGGAAAAAAGAATACCTGTATTAGCATGCAATAATCTATTGGACTGTGCTTATATATTTGTAATATATAATGATGTGATATAGAAAATTAGCAAGAAACTGAAACAATGGATGTTAAAAATAAAGAATCATAACAATCAAAACAGAAATCTATTATATTTCAGTCACTCACCGTATGTACCTAATTCATAAATTTTTTTGTTCCCTTTCTCCTTTCCTAGTAACTCACCTTTTCATACAACCTGGTCTTTATATTAATGAAAATATGAAAAAAGACAAAAGGAGGAAAAGAAAGAAAGGAACAATTAAACATTAAGAGCTAAAGGGTGTATTTAGTATTTCTTGTGAGAAGGATCACGTACGTCTGGAAAGTTTGACTTGTAATCCATATTTGAGATACATAGTCAAAGCCATTTTGGGCGTAACAGGATGACCTTCGACTACCTTGACATTGTAACGGTAGAGGATTGATGCAGCGACGAATTTCATCTGATAGTAAGCGAAATCTTTGCCTAAACAAAGGCGAGGTCCTCCATTGAAGGCTGTGAAGCGATATGCGGATTCGGTCATGTAGCGGCCATCTCTCAGCCACCTCTCTGGTTTGTATTCTCTGCAATCTTTCCCCCATATTCCTTCCATTCTTCCCATTGTATAGATTGCATACACTACCTTTGTTCCCTTCTTCAATACTGTTCCGTCTGGGAAAACGTCGTCTTCAACTACCTACATAACAAACCAAACAATTGATGAGCAAAGAATGGAAAGACCCTTATGCCAGTTACATTCAACTAGCTTTTTCTATTTTGACTTTAATAGCGTACAGCTTGGATGTTTTTATTCTTGGAACATCGATGCCCAATTGATCATTCCAGGAAGCCATACCTTTTTCTCTCCAAACATTATTATCTCAGTTACCAACAAATTGTTAGAACAGTTGAACTAATAAATAAAGAACCTAAGAACACTTCACCTCTACCAGTCAAAAGAGAAAAATAAAAGAAACAAGACGTCCACTTCTCTGAAGAGGACCATCAACGCATGCACTATACGAATAAATACTCCATTCGTTCCAAATTAGACCAAGTACTTTCTTTTTTAGTCTTTCCAAAATAAATGACATATTTTTAAATTTGAAAATAATTCAACTTTAAATTCTTCGTATTACCCATTTTACCCTTAATGAAAAGTTTTTATAATCACACAAATGTAACGACCCCACAAAGCTTTTACCCCTCAAGCTTTTAAGACCACAAGAATCAAAAGTCTACTTTTTTTTTTTAAACTCCGTGTCAAGTCAAACTACCTCACCTGAATTGAAACAGAGGGAGTAGCTAATAAAATTAAAAAAGAGTTGTTATATTATCGCAAAAGTGATCAAATCTACTGTTAAAATTATAGACTAGTATGATCAAATACAAACAGTTAGATTTTTATTAAAATAGGAGTACTTAAATAAAATAGTGTTCACATGTATTTTATGTAGAAGGTGGGAAAGTTTTACCTCTTTGTGATCAACTGGAACAGAAGGATACAATCTGAGAGCTTCTGAAAGAGCAGCTTGTAGATATTCCATTTGCTTGATCTCTTTGGGCTTGAAAATCAAAGGAGTTTCCTTAATGGCATCCTCTGATCTTTCATTCAAAATCTTAGAAATCTCAGCCAAAATTCTTTCTTCAACCTCCGGATTACGATTCAAGAGCCAGAAAAACCAGCTTAATGCAACTGAAGAAGTGTCTCTTCCTGCTAGAATGAAGTTGACACAAATATCTCTCAAGAACTTACCCGAAAATGGCCTTCCTTGTTCATCTCTTAGCCCCATGAACACAGTTAAAAGATCCGATCTTTTTTTGCTACTCTCATCTTCTAAAGAAAGCTCTTTCTTTCTAGTTTTGATAACTTCATCAGCAAATTCATCCACTTTCCTCAATGAATGCTTCAACGTCCTCTCTGTTCCTAACCCAAGCCACCTCATTGTTTTCCAGACAAGCGTGGGAGTGACAAACCGGAGAATGGTTGCTTCGGTTGCTGACTCGAAAGCTTTGGCGAATGGAATTTCAGGTAAGCCAGGGTGGAGACACCCTGGATCAACCCCGAAAGCAATCATGCAGACGTTATCGAATGTGAGCCTAAGGAGAACATCTTGAAGATCAATGGGGATTAATTGCTTCATTGAATCTTCCAAAACAGGTAAGAGCCTAGAATGAACAAGCTCCAGCAATGAATCAGTAGTCATTTTCCTAAAGTTAGCAGAATGGAACTCAATGCTCGCTGTTTTCCTCTGCTTCTGCCAAATCTCATCATCTGCACTGAATATTCCATCTCCAAGTAGGTCCCTAACAGTGCTTCTAAAGTATTCACCTTTAGGAAAATTTGAGAATTTTGTCTTGAGAAGATACTCAAGATTCCGGGGATCCGATGTCACCACACAGTTGAGGTTGGTGAACCATGGACCTCGGAACGTAAACGTCCCATTCATCCTACAAAGAACATCAGAAATCCACTCATACATGTCTTTCCGTAGCCCTAAAATCAAAGAAGGCAACATCCCTACTAATGGCCAATTTGGTAATCCTTGTTTCTTTCCCTGCCTTAAAGAATGTATACAAATGAAAACAACAAAGGCTAGGAATATTTCCATCATTTGTATCTCTGGCAACAGAAGAAAACTTGTGTTCGGGTTTAAATATGCAAACAAGGATGTGGAGGATGAACAAGTCATGTTAATGGTGTTCAATGAATTCATCATGTTGTACCTATGCATGGAGTGGTTGTTTTGGTGTGATTCTACTGCTAGAAATATACTAGTTGTTATAAGGGGGAGGTGTATAGTTTGTGTTTTCTTGGCGTGCTTAAGTTTGTACAACCAGCAGTTTTGATTTGGTGAGCTGAAAATGGAATAGAGGTTTACTCACAATATTTGGGTCTCAACTATTTGGTGCTTGCTCCTTGATTTCAATCACTTTTCTTGTAAAACAGGGTTTTGATCAAAAATCAATTTTTGGAAAGAGTGGAAATAAAGACATGTCTTATTAAAGCTTATGGGGTTGACCATAGTTGGAAGGTTTTTGCTATGGAGTGGGTGAGACAGTTAACCTAAGTATAATTGAGTCTGTCGCACACGTTTTGCAGGGTCATTATTTGTTTTTTCAGTTTTTGAGGGGGTTTTGTGCATACTAAAATTTTCAGGTGTGTGGTTTAGCTACAAAAACTTTTGGTTTCGTGTTTACCCTTATGTACTGGTGACACGTCGAAACTATTCCTTTTTGGTTAGTTTCTGGGCAATTGTCCACGTGTGTAGCTGAACTGCCTGATTCGGGTCAGCCCATTAAACCGCGGCAGGTTTGTTATGAACCGGACCCTACCCTTTTCTTTTAGTTTAAATTATTTCATTCTTTACTTCCGTTAAAATCTTTCTTTTAATTCCATTGCATGGGAAAAAGAGGAATGGGGAAAAAGTAGGATCGCAAGAATTCAACTCACACTTTAAAGAAAAGAAACCGAATCATACTTTGTTTGATGGAGTTTGGCTTTATTTGCAGTATATTTCATAATTCGATTTATATTTTTACTTTCATAATTTTCAGAATATTATCCATAATTCAATGAAGAAAATACTTAATTATTTATTCTAATAATGAGTGCAATTTTTATATATTATATCAAAAATAATAAAGAAAAATATTATTTGAGTACAAAAGGAATTCAAATATAAGTGTATTATCTATTTATTTATACTACTTTTAAATGCTAGAAAAAAAACTATAAAATCAAAATATGTGTACTTCACTTCAAAGTTACACCATTATCGTCGGAAACTAAAATTTTCACCATCCAAGACAATTTTAATGATGCTATGTAGTCGGATTGTTTTACTTTATTAGAGAATCTTTAACATGTTTTCCTTTCCATACAATATTCTTATTAATTCCTAAATTTTAGGACTTGATATATACTTCAAATAAAGAATGATTTTATAAATAAATTGCTAAATATTAGAAAAGTAACTTAAATTACTATTTTAATCAATGTATAATCTATTTTTAAAGGGTAAAAACGGCGAACGATATTTCGCTAAGGGCCTTCGTACTTTTAATATAGTATAGATAACTATGTAATAGAGAAGAATATTTCTACACTTAGATTTATATCACGACCCAAATTCCATCAAATTGTAATGGCAATTAACCCAACCCCCTAAGTAAACCAACCAACATATAACACAGTTCGAACGCAAAATCATCAAATAAATAATAAAATAAGAACACAAAAAATAATACAACTATTCCCAAGAACTGGTAATATAAGTCACGAGCGACTAAGATTAGGATCACATCGTTGATATAAAAAAAATACATCATCCTTTTGGAATATACAAAAACAGAAACACAAGTCTTAAACTACTATGAACAAAATGGTAGTTTACAACTGGAACGCTAGTACATTTTCAATGCTAGCCTTAGGCTTCTACAACAGCTTAGCTCCAAAATCTGCACGCAAGGTGCAGAAGTGTAGTAAGAGTACAACCGATCTCATGTACTCAGCAAGTATCAAGACTAATCTTAAAGGAGTAGTAGCGAGGTTTTGTCAAAAGACACTCACTTACTTGTTGCTCATAAAATGTACAATAACAGAGGAATAACCGAGAAACAACCAAGGAACATATCAATAAGAAGGTATACAATCAATGGAGAATATAATATAAGCATACTTTTCCAAAAACTAGATTAAAGTATATACAATGCACCAATTCAACATATAAAGGAGATTTGCACCAAGTATCTTTAACTCGAAAACTTCTACGTGAATGTAGAGTATCTATACATGATAAAGACTCAGTTTCAGATTAATTCCTAATTAGCATTGATACAAATTCTCCTATATGAGTCTAAAAAGTCTATGCGTGATGAACACTCAACATACACATCAATCTTACACTCTCCCAAGTGTCCAACAATCCACTAACAAGTCCAATACATGTGTAAAATGCATGCAATATATCAATGATATGCACGAAAATGCAGGAGCGGATGTAGCGCATTATCGACGGGTTCAATTAAACTCATAACTTTTGATGCAGAGTAAAAATTTATATATAAAAATTCATTAAAATTACAAAAATAGTAGATAAGAACCCATAACTTTAAAAATATAATGAGTTTAATGCAAAAAACTTTAAAAATTGAACCCATAGGATTTAAATCCTGAATCCGCCTCTGTGAATATGTCTATATGAGTCGAGAATGTCAATACATGCTCAAGACTCAAGCACACCCAATATCTAGCACATTTTATATGCTCCAATGTGGTCCAGCACGTCCCATGTGCTCCAACACGATACGCCAGTCACCTGCGCTCATAGTGCCTAATGTAACATAGGTAATCACCTGACTTCGAAGGAACATATCCATATCTAAGCGTCACAAGAAAATTCATAGTACCATAACATATTAATATCACAATAACCGCACAACATAAAGTATTGTTCCATAACAATATCAATATCACAATAATCGCACGGCAAAGCCTATTGTGTCATAATATTATCAACCACATGAATAACTCACGTGCCATAATTCTCAATTGTACGAACAACTTATGTGCAATAATCTCGGTTCATATAAGAGAACCTTATGTAAGAACGTATCCATGTGAATAAGAGATAATCATGTATGATGCACATGGACAGATAAATAACCATATAGGAATGTATGCATGTGCACATGAGATGATCTCTATACATGCGTATGACTACATCTCCAATGTATAATTCACCATAAATATCATCAAGTTCAAATAAAGCATCAAAATCTAGACATAATCTCTATCATAAATAAGAAAGTCCAAGTAATCATAAAAATAATTAAAGCATATCACAAGTAGAGCATGTAACAAATAAGGCATAACAAAACTTAAAATCTACTCCGAACATAGTATAACCTTGGTGCCCGCATATACGCTGGTCACCTCGCATATACGTCACCACAAATATATAACATGTAGCATGTAAGTTTAGTTTAAAAAATACTCCCTCAAGTCGAGGTTAAGAAAGAAACTTACGTTCTTATGGTGTCACGACCCAATTTCCCCTCCGTTGGGTTTCGTGATGGAACCTAGTCTTAAGGACTAGGTAATCCTAATAATTGCGGAATAACAACAATGAATAATAACATCTAAAATTCTTCTAAAATAAATTCCTTATACAATGAACATCTTCCAAAAATCCGGTAGTACAAGTCATAAGCTCTACTGAGTTTCGCTACCATTTCTAAACACAACCATTTGGAAATAAGTACAGCAGTGAGAATATAAAATAGGAAGGTGACTCCGAAACCTGCGAGCGCAGCAGCTAGGCTACCTTGAGTCTCCTCGACAAGAATCCGCACAGCTACTAGTGAACAATACCTGGATCTGCACACAAAAAATGTGCAGAAGTGTAGTATGAGCACACCACAGCGGTGCCCAATAAGTATCAAGACTAACCTCGGTGGAGTAGTGACGAGGAACAGTCGAGACACCTACCGGTCAAATAAAATGAACAGGATATGATAATAAAATATCGAGATAAAGATAACGAGGTAATATCAACAGCGGATAGAAATCAAAATACAAACAGTAGGAACAATAAAGGGAGAACACGGGTAGTAAAGAACGATACCAAGTAAATCAGATAACCAAGTAAATCAAGTAACCGAGTACATCAGATAACCAAGTAAATCAACACTGACATAACAGGAATAGAGACAAGTAAGAATGTATCCAAATAAAGAAAACAATGCCAACTCAATCACTCACATCATGTCTAATACACAATCCCGACCATCTCAATCCTCGGTTTCTCACATCATAATCTCAACTTCCGAAACCTCAACACACATGCACCTTGTGCTCCCATATTTTCCACCTCACTCTTAACAAAAGAAATCAACATGCTATACAATATATAATGTCCGTACAAATACACTCAAGATGTTCAAGGAGTCTCATTTACCTAATATAAGTAGATTACAAATTCTAAACTAATTAGGAAAAATCAGCGAGAAAAGATGAAGTTATTTTTAGAAATAATTTGAATAAAGAAAGTACCATATTCAATCAGAATACAACATCGAATGAATTATACATGGGATTTCATAATTTACAAGTTAGTAGAAATTCCTTTTAAGTGGAATACAACCTTAGACGATTTAAGGAAAATCTAGTTGAGAAACTAACTGAGTAAAAATGTAGAAATTATTGAAGTTTGAAGTATTGAAATATATATATATATATATATATATATATATATATATATATATGGCGAGGTGTTGACAACACTATGGGTTCTAACACAAAGAATCACAGCAGTAAGGGAAATCTAACCCGTTAAAACACTTGAATTGATAACAACAAATAAACACAGCAACAGAAAGTGCACGACATCACCCTTCGTGCTTTTACACTCACAGAATATCGACAGGGGATCTCCCGGGATCCCGTCCCGTAGTCCCAAACGTAAGTACTTGGGGGATCTCTTGGTATCCCGAGGATCTCTTGGTATCCTCAATATATGTGGTGGGATCTCTTGGTATCCCGAGGATCTCTTGGTATCCTCAATATATGTGCTGGGGATCTCTTGGTATCCCGAGGATCTCTCGGTATCCTCAATATATATGCTGGGGATCCCTTGGTATCCTCGATATATGTGCTGGGGATCTCTTGGTATCCCGAGCCAACAAATATGAACAATGGCATCCCGGCAAGGGAATCAACAATATGAACAAATAACACCCCGGCAAGGGAATCAACAATATAAACAATACATCCCGGCAAGGGAATCAACAATATAAACAATACATCCCGGCAAGGGAATCAACAATATAAACAATACATCCCGGCCAGGGAATCAACAACAATCCAACAATCCCATCACAAGGAAGTTCNTGTATCCAAATAAAGAAAACAGTGCCAACTCAATCACTCACATCATGTCTAATACAC